AAATAACCAATAGAGAATAAGATCAACAAATCAGTAAACATCCACTTTCTATAGCTGACATCAATATCATAAATGACCATGAAAAAAGTCAATGGTGACATTTATATTACTGGTTAATATGATAGGCTTATTATTCCTAACCTTGTATATATTCCGAACCAATGAATTATTTTTTATTCTATAATAAAAACAGACTTCGATCTATATGTATGTTTTATTTCAGATGAAGATAATCATGTAGCAGCAGCATAAGAGGAGAAAGAAAACATGACATCAACTTATAAAGGACTTTCATCTCAAAAATCATTAGAAATAAAAACAAAATCAATTGAAACAACACTTGTACCACTTGTTACACAAATTTCAACATTAGTTAATTTTAAAGAAAAACCTCGATCATCATTAACAACAAATGAAAAAACTCTTAATGCTATTAATCGTGTTGGCGAAGCTGTACATATGGCAGTTGAACGTTTTGTTTCTGTTGGTAAGTTCGAATCGTTTTTTGTTTTTTAAATAAAAATATTTTTCTTCTAGGAGAATCAATTGGTAACGAAAATCCTGAAATAAAATCCGATTTAATTGATGCATGTCGTGAAGCACGTACATCTGGTAAATTTCTTTCTAAAGTATTTGATCGAAATACATCTTTATTTGACTAGGTGAAGCAATTAAACGAATAACTTGTGTAGAATATGATAATTTTGGTAAACCAGTTTGTGTAACTGATCGACATAGTATGGTACAAGCAGCTCGAGGTTTATTAAGTGCCGTCACACGTGTTTTACTTCTTGCTGATATGGTTGTTGTTAAACAAATTATCTCTACTAAAAAAAAAGTATGAAATTAAAATAAAATACTTTATATATATATGTATTGTTGTTTTGTATTTAAGGTGATATCAACATTAAATCGTGTTGAAGGTGTAGCATCATTTTCTGAATTTGTCAAATTATTTGGAGTTTATGGTACTCAAATGGTTGATTTAGCACATCTAACTGGAGATCGACAAAACGTAAATAACTTGATCTAGTTAAAATTCTGTTTCATCTTATTCCCTATGATTTCCAAAGTCATACTCTATTATTAAACTAGAAGAATAGTATCTTTACTGAAAGATAAAAAAAATATCTAGCTCTATAATTGCATTCATATTATAGATATGAACATAATTAGTATTTTAAACAGGTAGTCCTATGCTTGATCTATTATAATTAGAAAATATAACAGTAGAGACAATTTTTATCAATTGGAAAATGTTTATCTAATCGAGGGACTTATTTTTTATCTCATTCTCTATAATCTAATATTTAGGATCTCAAAGATGAACGTCGTCGTTCCCAACTTTCAGCATCACGAACAATCTTAGAAAAATCAACAATGCTCATCTTAACATCATCTAAAGTACTATAATCAAATATTTATTATCTAAATATTTCGATTTTTTTTGTCTATAGGCCTATCTTCGTCATAATGAATGTCTCCATGCTCGTAAATGTCGTGATCTTGTTTATGGTCAAGTTCGTCGTGCTCTTGATATGGTACAATTAATTGTATATGATTCTGGTTCAACAACATTAAATACTACTCCAACACTAACACTTCTTCTAGCTAAAAATGAAATTAATTTCGTTAAATCTTTACGACAATTTGAAGTAAGACAAAAATAAAAACACGAAGAATTTTTTTAAAGAAATTTTTTTTTTCGAAATAATTTAGTATGCAGTAGAAATGTTAAATGCTTCATCAACATCGACAACAAAAGAACAACTTGAACAATTATGTAATGCAACTATTGATAATAGTCAAGATTTTACTGATTCAGTTTATATAAGTATTGAACAACGAGAAAAAGTTCTTCAATATCATAAAAAATTACAAGATCAATTAGCGGAAATTATCAAAATTATATCTGAAGTTTGTTGTTTTTCTTCTTCTATAGTTTAAATAATTTCCTCTTTTAGAAACAAAATGAAACACTTGTAACAGCGATTCAAACAATTCAACAAATTGCACGAGAATTTCGACAACAAGTATATTTTCTTCAACAAAAAAAACAATTTTTGTATCTATTTTCTTAGCTTGAACAAATGGCAATGCTTCGTGCATCAGAATTTTTTCGAACACATGATGAAAGTGTTTTACTTAATGAATTAAAAACTTGTTCATCATCAGGTAGAAATGATTTACTCCAAGGATCAACTGATCGATTTCGAGAACAATCAGAAATTGCTATTGAGGTTTGATTTCAATTCACCAAAAAACGAAATATGAATTTTCTATTTTAGTTAAGTAAACTGTTAAGACATATTAGTTCATGTGATCAATTACAAGTATCAAGCGAATATCATGATATGGTGTTTCTCAATTTATCACATATGGTATGTTAAATAGTAGATTTTAGGAAGTTATATTATCTTG